CTCTTAGCCCGCCCACCGCTCCTGGGGGAGGTTCAGGAGTGTCATCTTCATCGGTTTGCTCCTGTGCCCTTCCTTGATCCCTTTCGGGATTTGTGGAATGGGATGTGTGCTGCCTTTGGGCAGGGAGGGGACTGGTGCCCTGGTTTATCTCAGCGGCTTGACAGGACCGGCAAGGCTGCAGACACCTGTGCCTTCTCGGCGGGCCTGCCAAAGGGGGCTCGGGGCACCCTACAGCAGAGCTGTCTGCCGCCGTTTTTTCTATAGGAGAATCGTTTAGCTACCCCTGGCCAAGAAGAAGAATACGGTTGTGGGCAACAATACCAGCTGTTGCTTACTAGCTCAGGCTGAGGAATTGTACGAAATAGTTACTGCTTTTAGACAATGTTGTAAGGGCTTTATTTTTTTTAGTGTTGGTTCAAAAGATTTGATTACTCACCTGATGAGAACTGCTTTGTAAAGGGCATTTATTTACACACACACACACACACACACACACACACTTCACCCTTGAACATTGTGGGGGTAAGGGCACCGACCTCCCATGCAGTTGAAAATCCACATATATAACTTTTGAATCCTCAAAACTTATCTAGTTTCCCTCAGTATCCCTGGGGGCCAGTTCCAGGTACCCCCAAGGATATCAAGATCCGTAGGTGCTCAAGTCCCTTACAGAAAGCAGTGTGGAACAATGCATACAGTTGGCCCTCCACATCCATGGATCCCCAAGTGTGGATCAAAAATACTGTTTTGAGAAGCTTGAACCAAATGTACTCTAAAGTTTCTTCTTGCCCTAGTATTGTACTGTTTATTTGAGGGCTTATAAGTGTTCACTGCATTGCCAAAAATCTCAAGTAGAGATGGCAGCACCAGGCATCTGAGGGAGTAAAACAAGGGCCTGATTTAGGGACATCTAGTACCCGGCATGTCTCCATGTGGAGAGATGGTAAGGGCTTTCTATAGGGCTACAAAGATGAGACAATAAAATTGGAAACTGAAGCCTGTGATAGATAGATGCATATAAATATATCAGAATCGATATTGTTTGTTTAGAAGAAATATGAGAAATAGCCTAAGAGTAGTTGTAAAGAGTTTTCATTTTATGCAACAAATACTTATAGCCTACTGTGTGCCAGCCACTGTTCTTATCAAGGATCTGAGGTGAGGTGAGTTGACGTTGGGGTACGCTGTAGCAAATGCTTCTCTTGGGAAGTAACAGTTCTCCACTAGGGTCAGATGAACTAGATCAGCAGGCAGGGTGCGTGGGAGATGTCCTGTAGTCCTTGGAGATGACAGTCCCCTGTGTTTCTGATGGTTAAGGAAACATCTTGCCTACTGGCCATGTTTCCGAGGTACTCTGTGTGTGTCCCTCCAGAATGAACCCTTGATTTCTTTCTGCTCTTGCTGGCTTTGTCACCAAAACGTGGGCGGTAAGACTTTTACTGTGTGCTCCATTTCCCTCCCAATCAATATGTGCTAGAATATGGAGTAATGGGGATGTCAGCCTGCCAGAACAAGTAAAATAGAATAACTCAGCCTTCCCTGAGTTACGGTTTCTCAGTGTCATGTCCTCAAAAGCCACCAGTTCCCAAAATAAACACTTTCAAACATAAGCATCAAAATACACTGCAAAGCTAATTGCGGTCTTTGGATTCTGTGATGCCCCAGTGATGAGTCAGCCTCCTGCTTATGGTAGTTTCCAAAGCCCTTAAATGGTCTCCCAGGTCCCCTCCGCCACCTCGCCTGTGGTTCCGCCTGGCAGGGACAGTGAGAGCCCTGGTGGGTGGGTTCGTGGTGGTGACGTGATTTTGAGATATTGTTTTAATTTTTTTGCCAGTTCTTTCATTATTTGGATAAATAAGAGTTAGCCATGTTTTCAGTGTGTTTTCTCTTTTACACTTTCATGAAAGTAAAAACAGTACAATATACTATTACAGTGATCTATTATTGCGAAAGTAAAACTGCACAGCGTGCTGACATAGCTTACTCTATGCTCTCAGAATCAGCTGTTGATTTATAGACCGTATAGAGCTAAGATCTGAAAATACGCTGTCTTACCCGTAGTGAGATCTTACCCACATCTTACTATATAGGAAACGTGTTGTCCTGCCCATAATATTAAGCTACAAGTATCCTATATCTTTACTAAAACATCCTACTTAGACTTCATTTGATTTAAACCTTAAATTTGAAACAGCATACTTAATTTACTCTAATAAAGCAGCAATTTACTGTTTCATGAATGGGAGGGAAACTGTTTGAAACCTTCCCATTCAAAGTGTGGTCCATGGACCAGCAGCGGACACATCACCTGGAGACAGTTAGAAATGCAAACTCTCACTCTCTCCCACCCTCGCCTATTGAATCAGAATCTGCATTTTGACTAGAAACCCCAGGAAATTCATGCACATTTTAGGTGTGAGAAGCACTAGATTTAAATTTGTAAATAACACTATGTCTAGGTGAAATTGGTTTGAAGTTGGTGGCAGAAGAGCTGACTGTAAGTCACATTTACCTTTGATCTGGAGAAAAGATAAATCCAAGTCTGAATGACTTGTGTATTTATAAAGGATAAAGTGTGAAAATTATACAAAATCTGTGAGAAGTTAGAAATATTGGCAAGAAATAGAATAAAAATTATCCCAGAAAATGCAGGCTAAATGTCTGTGCACAAAGTATACATAGCAGTTGGGCGATTTGAGCACGGGGAGCATCTTGATGCCTGTGTACATGTGACACAGAGAAGACAGGAGACAGAAAGCCAGAATTCAATCAGTGATAGATCAAGGTGGTCACTTTCTATGACCAATCTGATTCGTGAGAAATTTTCTTAAAAGCGGAGAGCCTAGTTGTGACTGGTGCACTTCTCACACGGTAAGCAACACTGTTTGCTAGAAAGATAAAGATAAACTGGAGAGTGTTAATAGATGGGCTAGAAGACTGATTATGGTATAGGGAGAACTGATTTATGAGGACAGAGAAAAATAATCAGACAGGGAGCACAAGGCTGTAAAAAGGGACCATGGGGACATGGTATTTGTCTAGTATTTTGCCAGTGCTGCTTCCTGTAGTATCCATATGAAAGATGCTGAAACATTAGCATGTAAGAAATTTGTTACAGAGCAGAGCAATATCAGCCAGAATTAGTTTGTTAAATTAGGAGCAATATTAAAGAATATGTTTTAGTAAATTTTACCTGGTACATGAGAAATTACCTTGAGTCAGATGACTTTATCCCTGACAACTTTTGAGAGCTCTGTGAGCAAAGAATGGACAATAATTTCTTAAGCGGTTGAATTATCTTCCCGGGGAAATGACTGGGATGCCATCCCTTGAAACTTCTAGCATTATGGTGGAGAAAAACCAGGATGTTGCCTGTGGGAACTCTCCACTTCCCGCAGAGACCTGGTGATTGACGAGTGACGTTTTTCTTCTGCAGTCTCTTCGATGAATGCTGATGTTACCATACACAGATGTTTTTCATAAGGCTTCTGTCTTATATAAGTTAAAAATGCCAGTCTCTAGACAAACAGCTAGAGAGTGTCACTCATCTGCCCTCCGCGATGTCTGTGTCCTTGGCTTTGGCAGGCTCCCTGCACCCAGCGACATTCTTTTGTCACTTCTCCAAATTACGTCATTTCTTAAAAGATGCAATCCAGCGCCTGTTGGAAGGGAATTCACTTCCTACATTCTCTTCATTCAGAAAGTTAAAAAGATAAGCCCAAAGTATGTGTTGCCTTTTGGAGCTCTTTGTCAAATGGATACAGAAACTCTGAACGTCTGAAATCATCTAGTGCTTCAGAGAGTTTAGTGATCCTTGTCACCAGGACAGAAAGTAGGTAAACCAGAATAGAATCATTCAGTATTCTAATTCATTATCCTGTGATGCTGTCCCTTCAAATCCACATTCTTGTTGTCTAGGAGATTGAGTTTAACATGGGTGCTGCTTAGAATAGTTTGTATCAAATATGTTGACTGCAGAGATTAGATATACTTCTTCATGCTGGTGTGTGGGCAAGTTCGCCAAATTTAAATATTAAATCACAATAATTAAAGTACTTCAGGTGCTCCATAACATGAGTTTGTTTTTTGTTGATGATATTTTCTAAACTGTTGTTCAGTTTTGTTACTTATGACTTGATGCACCTACTTTTGTTTAAGAAAGTCTATTTATCTGCAGCCGAAAGTTCTTATAACCTTTCTTCCTGAAAGAGATCTAGACATAAATAAAAAGGTTAGGAATACATCCTGTATTTTGTTCCTAATACACAGATAATCTGCTCTATATCCTGTTCCTGTGGGAAAGGTCCTAACAAATTGCCAGCATCTTACATGGGCAAATAACAACCGTCTTGAAGATGAAAATTAATTGAGAAAAAAAAATATTGAATTGATAGATTGTGATCTTTATCTTTCTTTTTTTTTCTCTTGCTTCCTGACTGATATACCAACCAAAGGGGCAGGGGAAAAAGTCCTTTTCCTTTCTAAATCATTCTTCTAGTGTCATATTGATTTTCTCTCAAGTACACCCTGTGGTCTCAGACGAGCACATATTTTCTTACATTACTTGTATTGACACAGCACCATGACTCATGGGTTGACATATGTTGCTTGAGCTGTGATGACACCACTCACCATTGACATTTCCTGGGGAGTGGGCGTATCAGGTCTCTTATACATGAAACCTAAGGGCATAGGCTGTCTTATAACAGTATTTTTATTCTTTGAAAAGTGATTATTGTTCCCTCCAAGTGATACCTTAAGATCCCCATCACTGTCGCTTAACATTGTTTTTAACGCCTCCAACAATGCCTTGAGTTCTTTCATGTTCTGGTTTGTTTGCTGATGAAGGGGAAAAAAAGTCTTCAATAGGTATCAAAATATGAGTTGTAAGAAAAAATGTGTTATTAATTGTCTGAAAGAATACACGGTGGCCTGGCGGTCATGCCACTGCTTAGGCTCTTTCTTACCTTTGTATTGTCCCCCGCCCCTCCCTGTTTCAGCTAGCCGTGAGGTGGTTGGAACACAGCTGCCATTACCAGTACATGGATGAGCTCCTGCAGTATATCCGCTTTGGCCTGATGGATGTGGATACGCTCCATACAGTTGCCCTGTCCCACCCCCTCGTCCAGGCAAGTGAGACTGCAACAGCTCTTGTCAACGAGGCCCTGGAATACCACCAGAGCATCTACGCACAGCCCGTGTGGCAGACTCGCAGGACCAAACCAAGGTTCCAGTCAGATACTCTATATATCATCGGTGGGAAAAAACGTGAGGTCTGTAAAGTCAAGGAGCTGCGGTACTTCAATCCTGTCGATCAGGAGAATGCTCTCATAGCTGCCATTGCCAACTGGAGTGAGCTGGCCCCCATGCCCGTGGGAAGGAGCCACCACTGTGTGGCAGTCATGGGGGACTTCCTGTTTGTGGCAGGAGGGGAAGTGGAGCATGCCAGTGGCCGGACCTGTGCTGTGAGGACTGCCTGTCGCTATGACCCCCGCAGTAATTCTTGGGCAGAGATAGCACCCATGAAAAACTGCCGGGAGCATTTTGTGCTGGGTGCCATGGATGAGTACCTCTATGCGGTTGGGGGCAGGAATGAGCTGCGCCAGGTTCTGCCTACAGTTGAGCGATATTGCCCCAAGAAGAACAAATGGACTTTTGTGCAGTCCTTTGACCGATCCCTTTCATGTCACGCTGGCTATGTGGCAGATGGTCTTCTTTGGATATCAGGTAGAAAATGCCTCATATGTTGAATTTATCAAAAAACAGTGTGATTGTGGGGTGCCTTTAAAAGTCGAGCTTTGGTAGTGTGGCCATGTGTAATCGAATGAATGAGCCAAGGCTGCCATTTTAGCTGATTAACATTCATTGATTGAGCACCTACTCTGGAGCAATTTAATGGGAAATAATTGGCCTTTCTGTGACTTTCTGAGTGATTAGTGGAGTAAAAATTCAAGATGGACGTTAATGGCCCATCACACCTCTTTTTTGACCAAACCTTCTGTTGTTTAGATTGTCAGCTTTTGATATTTATGGATTATATTGCACACCAGTGGTTTGTCCAGGCCCTTTGCTTTTACCTTTACCGTGGGCTACCTGACTAGGAGTCTTGCATCAAAGCCAGGGCAGGTGAAATGAAAGCCCAGTAACCGCACTTTGATAGCAGTGGGCATATATCCAGACAAGAGGACTGCTGTGCACTGAGGAACGGGATTGAAGCTATTGGCTAAGATGATGTCTTGTGTCATCTGTGTAGTGAGTCATGCCGTCCTAATCCTTCATTCCTATTTAGTCTTCCATTCTTTCTGACCATTTGGGGGCATTATCATTTTAGTGTCCTTTTTCAATCATTTTTTTTTTTTTAAAGCCTTTTGATTATGGAAAAAAGTGGAAAGACAAGTATAATGAACCCATATCCCCAGCTCCAGCAGTTACTCACTCGCTGCCAGTCTTGTTACATCCACGCCCACAGCTTCTTCTAACTCCTCGTGGCTGCCTTTTGCACAGAAGGAGTCTGTGAGGCACATGTATTAACATAACATTATCAACCTGTGTTTCCAGTTCTATCATCAAATAGACCTAAAATGTTCTCCTTTGAAAGGTTTGCCTATTGGGGAAGAAAATTGTATCTTCTCTTAGTTGGAGGGTACTCATTTTGTAACTCACATAGAACTTGTTGAATTTCCATGTCAAGGACAAAGAGGAAAATCAAATACTGTTAAGTCATCAATTAATGTCATCAATAGGTTCTGTGCCTTTAAGTGAAATGATCTATAAGGAGACCAATTTCACCAAAGGCTAATTGATATAAACAAGGGTTAAGTTCCTATGGCATCTCATCAACATTCTAACAAAACGACATTGAACACAATGACGTTTTTTTGAGGGCTTGCCATACTAAGAATAACTCCGAGACGTTTGCACATAGAAGAAACAGTCACTTTAAAGTACACCTGTGCAGGCTTCTCAGCTTCCCTCGACAGTCTTCCCGGGCTGTTTAACACCGCTATGGCAACATTCTCCTTTGCATTTAAACTAAATTTGTGTGGACTCCGCCCATTTTTCCTTCTGCTCCCTCAGCCACCAAGGAGAAAGCCACAGTCTCCCTTTTTCTGGATCGTGCCTCAGTTACTGGCAGCTATTGATTTTCAGTGAAGCACATGTCAGAGCTTAAGTGTTTGGTAATTAATTAATGAACTGAGATTAGGACTAAAGAAGAGGATAATGTGGTGGACCCAACAATTACTGACCTTTTATACCAAACAAACATTAGATATAAGTGTATATGTTAGTATACATAGATATAGTTAAATAAAAGCCTCAACTGGTGATTTAGTCCCTTCTCTTTAAGGATATATTTCAGTAGTTAAGAAAATAACCACCAGGATTATAGCCCTTCAGTTTTGCTGAAGAAACTTCAAATGTGGCTATAAATAAGCCTTTGCTAATAGAAGGAAGAGATCTCTACTTGACCTGAAAAACAAAACAGTGATGGCTTTATGTACTCAATGTAATCCATGTTTTCTCCCCATTTATATTCCTTCCATGGACTCATTTAGTTTTCATCCATTGTTAATGTCCTACATTCCTACATTAACAACATTTTCTGAATTTGTCACAAATATTTTTATAAATATTTCTTATTTTTTTGCTATAAAGCTAGCATTTTAAAAACTGCTGGAGTTTCCCATACATTGTCTTAAGGAAATGACTAGTTAGTATCTTCTTTAGTAAGGCCTCACAGAAGCTTATCTTAGACTGATTAGAGCTATCATCCTCATATCAAGCTAACTTCTCTTTCAATATGAGTCTATATATTTCCTTTTCCATTTTATTAAATGTATCAACTTATTATAGATCTTATTGCTATATCACTTTGTTTTTCCCCTACTGTGAAAGGAAATACATTTATTTTGTTGTTGTTAATCTTTACCGGAGGATATATTTTTCATTGATTTTTAGATAGAGTGGAAAGGAGGGAAGGGGGGTGGAGAGAGAGAGAAAAACATTGATGTGAGAGAGACACACTGATTGGCTGCTTCCCGCATGCACCTCGACCAGGGCCGAGAATCAAATGGGCAACCCAGGCATATGCCCTTGACCGGGAATCAAACCCTTGACCCTTGGGTGCACAGGCTGACACTCTAACCACTAAGCAACACCAGCCAGGGTAGGAAATACATTTTCTTTGTTCTCCTTGTGCACTAATGTATGCTGCCTGTGTTAACCATACTTAATGAAAACAATCACAATTTTCTCAGGTTTATTTCTCCCTACTGTGTACTTGAGATGAAAACTCACTTCCCTGTGTATAGTACAATACCTTTAATTGGAAAGAGGAGGAACTCACTGGTGACATTTCTAATACCTTCAGTCGTCGGCCTCGTTTTTTCAAGACCAGCTTATAATAAATTGATTGTGAATCTAAACATGGATAGGGAGGGATGACTAGATTTGCTAAAGGACCCCTTTAAAAAAAGATAGGTATATTTCACCCTGACTATCACTGATTTTGAAGTGTTACCTTGATTTATTAGAGCAGATGAAACTGCAGCTATTCTTTATCCTTTACCAAATAATCGATTATTTCCCATTTAATTGATGGGGATTGGGTCATTGGCATTCTTCTGGTATTTTGTAACCTTTGCCTGAGGTAGAGGGAGTAAGAATTATAAAATGTGGATTTTAGGCCTTATTTTTGTGCCGTAGAACACAACATGACTATGTCTTTAGAGACTCATAATTTCCAGAGTGCCCCATCTCCTCTCAAACCCCCTCCCCTGTCTCTGTCCATTTTGGGGTCAGGACACCTTGAAAACCTTTCCATAGTTTTTAAAGTGAGACACGCAGAGATGAATTCAGAAAATCATGCTGTGTGGATATGTCCATTAGCGTTTGATTTAGGGTATCAGAGAGTCATGTTTCACAGGCTCCTGTAGTATTTGACATCGTGACCCAATTCACAAATGCTGTGTATGATTTCTACTTGAAATTCACAACCCCAAATTAAAATGAGCATTAAATGCCCTCCAGTTGTGCTTTCAAAGGCACGCTCTCCACTATAAGGTATTGTTTGTGAAGTACTAAAAAGATCCCTGTGTTTTGAGTGAGAATTAATCCTGAGCTCATCTTGTAGAACAACTTACTTTTTCATTTTTGTCAAAAAGCAGCAGGATAAGGGGAAGCTAACAACAAAATTAGTGCTTTAGAACGATAAAAACAAGACAAATGCTACTGCATTTACCCCAAAGCAATATTTAGTGCTTTCTTGATCCTTTGGTGAGTGCTGCATTCTTATTAAGTCTAGTGCTGATTCGTAGATAAATAAGGTTAATTCAGCAAAGATACTTCTGGCCCTCTATGAGCTGACAGTCAAAGATTCGTGCAGATATTTCATTAATGAAAAAAACAGTTGTTAAATTTTCTTTAACTCCCTAGAAGATATGTTTAGTTTTATTTTGATTAAATTTAAATGGAGCTTGCATTGCCCCATTTTAAATAATTGCAATTTATTCAAACCTACTAAAGGGACTATGGCTTGTCTAATAGTCATTAAAATTAGAACAATGTAAATTTTCATTAATTTTTTTAAATGCGATAGCTTTAATTTTATCTGTGCAAATACTGTGCTTGCATCTGAAAAATTATATACAAAATAGTTGGAACTAACAGGTGTGTGCACTGAGGTCACAGACTAAGGCCACAGGCACATGAAACTTGATCCATTTCCTACCAACCAGGAGATGCTGGGCAAGGTTCCTGAGCTCAGTAAGTCTCGTCCGGGTTTGTACTAGGGGGACCAAGTAGAGCAGTGGTTCTCAACCTTCCTCACACCGCGACCATTTAACACAGTTCCTCATGTTGTGGGTGACCCCCAACCATAAAATTATTTTTGTTGTTACTTCGTAACTGTGATTTTTCTACTGTTGTGTCTTAGGCGACCCCTGTGAAAAGGTCGTTCGACCCCCAAAGGGGTCGCGACCCACAGTTTGAGAACCGCTGGAGTAGAGGAAGACATAGGTCCCATGCTGGGGCTCCTGGTGCAGCAGAGGGAGCAGACTTCAAACAGATCATTATAGTATAGCACATGCCCTGTGTGGTGACAGAAGTCCTTCCTAGTTACAGAAATAGTACAAAGCAGGGAGAAATTAGTGCAAAGGGCATAAAGAGATTTCAAAAAAGTTTGTAGCACCTTTAGCCTAACTTGGCCTCTGGTCTATTGGCTACTTCCTACGTACCCATTAACCCTTCTGTCCTCATGCTTGGGCTTCGTGGTCCAATCATTTCAACAATCCTCTTGCCCCCTGGCATGCACACAATGTTGGACAAACACAGTGGTCCACTTTATCTGTCTGTGCCTGGGCAGCTGAACCCTGTGGCAGGAGGCCAGTTGACTGGAGGGCTGGTATGAGTACTCTATACCCCACCACTAGTGTCCTCAGTTTCCTCAAAATCCCCTCCCTCAGGCTCAGGGAAAGGTCTTTGCCTCTGTTTCTCAGAGCGAATGTAAGCGAGGAGGTTCTCACAGCAAATTCAGTGAGACACAGCGAGGGGGAGGCGAGTGTGAGGAGACAGAAGGGCAAGAGATGGTCTGTTAAGGGGCTAAGGGCAGAAGGCTGGGAAACACTAGTGAGGAGGATGCAGAGAGGGGAAACCAAGGAAGGAGCCTGAGAATGTGGGGTGGGTAAGGCCACATGGGGAGTGTTACAGAAACAAAGCCACAGCACAAG